TCTGATATGTGCTCTTATCATTTCTTTTCTTTATCATATATATGCAATGCATAATTATTAAATGAGAATATCATTTATCTGTAGAATTTTATTATTTTTAAAAATTATTTAGCTGGGTTCACAGTTCTTGAGAGCTTTTTACCCTAGCACCATGGTTTCCAGCTTCTGTTTTGGTCTTGGAAAAATCTATTTGTCCATTGATGCCCCAGTCCTATCTATGTATACAACTTCTCAAATTTCACTATAATATGACATGTTGGGGAATTACTTTTTTATCGTTTTTGAGATATACTGTATTTTCTAAATCTGAGAATTGATATTGTTTATCAATTCTAGAAAGTTCTCTGACATCATCACTTTGACTATCACCTTACCTCCATCTTGCTCCATTCTCTCAACTTCTAAAGTTAAATTAGTATTAAAAAATTAGTATTTTTTCATAACTCATCTCAATCTTTTAATGTTTTGCTTTTTCATTATCTTGTATTTCTTTGTTGTATTCTGAGTGATAGCTTATAATCTATCATCTTGTCAACTCTCTTGTGTGAAGCCACAATTTTTAATTTTATTTAAAAGATTTATTTTTATTTATGCATACAAGAACTGGGATGTAGGTCAGAGGTATGAGGGATGAGAGGATTCACCAGAGAGAGAATGGGGAGCAGAACAGGAGGACCCACTGAAATACATTGCTGAGGGGAGCAGCGGGCAAGCCAGGAGAGGTGTGTTGTGCCATGTGGGTCAGCTCCTTGGCCAGAGAGCTAACTTAGGCCCAGTGGCTGCCGATAATGCTGAGACTTTAACTCCTGTGTTACCAAGGAGGCCCTATTATTCTATTTTTTATTTCTAGCATTTTTTTTTTGGTTATTGTTTGTATGTTTGTTTTGTATTCCTGCAAGGAAAGACCACATATCTGGTTTCCAGTCAAATATACAAGATACAATAGGCTTGGCCAGAACCAAGTTCATTTAACTTTTATAAGGGAAGGAAAATAGATAGCAAACACTCTGTAGAGCAAGAAATTCCTGGAGACTTTAGACAACCAGATGCAGCATCCCATGTGCCCAATAAATAACTGCATTCTCAAGAAATAACAACAAAAAAGTGTATAGTGTGAGTCAAGTCAGCACAGGAAAGTCACAGGTAATAGGGCATGCCCAATTCACATAGTCTTAGTCATCTAAAGGGATGTGTATATAATTTCCATTCTTTTGTGCAGCTTTGGTATATTATAGAATACATAAACAATTGTTACATTCATGCATAGAGTGCTTAGATTTATCCTTTTGTAATTAATATAAGTCTTTGCTGAGTAAGTCAAGTAATAGTGTCTTCTGGGCCAAATAGGCTCAATAATAGAATCTCACAGGGAGTCTATGAGTTCCACAGATCCTACCAATGTTCATTTCTTAAATTATAAACAAAACAGATTTATATAATAGCTCTTGAGCTATAATAGCGGTGTTTTTGGCCTAATGAGAAAGCCCTATCATAGTGGCAAAAGCAGAATTGAATCCCCTAAAACTCTTTTTGCTGACTCCAGGTCAATATAGTAAATATAAAACAATAGTGTATCACTGGTATATTGACAGATTTAATGAAAATACATAGTATCTGAGATAGAATCGATCATTCGATTGAATAATGAAATGGGAAGAGAGAAGAAGAACTAGGTAGTGTTGAGTGTACGTTTTGTGGTAGTCTAGTCAGTGCAGGCCCCACAAAAAGAGGTAATGTTAACTCTGATCTTAAAGCATCATGTTTTATATTAAAGTGCTGGTTATAAGAGTGCAACATATCTCAAAGACTTACATTTTCCTTTCCCCATTTCTTGCTCCTTTTCTATCCCCTTCCCCCAGATACTTGATTGACTCAATTAGGATGAGGGCAGCATTGATAATAGCAAATTTTCAACAACAAACTCTAGAAATCTAGAATTGAGGCTACCAGAGCAGGGGAAGGGGGAAATAGGGTGGAGAGGGTGGTAAGAGACTGCAGGGGAGGACTATGGGTGCCTTGGTGTGGATGTGGTAACAACATACATCTGAAGGATGTGAGATCCTATACTTCTAAATTATATAAAGTGTTGTAAACCGATGTTATTTCAATAATATTAAATATTTTTTTTAAATAATAAATTTTATTTTTATATTCCCCATACAATTTCAACCCCCCCATTCTGACCCCAATCCCTCCCCTCTTGCCCCCCCACCCCCCAAAAGGTGTCTCTGGTTCATAGTTTTTTGTTGATTTTGATTTTCACTTTCTTATAGTTATTCATTTTCCTGGTCCCTTATTTAAGTTATCTAGATTCCTGCTATGAGTGAGACCATCCGGTATTTTTCTTTTCTTTCTGGCTTATTTCGCTGAGCATGATCCCTTCCAGCGCCATCCATGTTGCTGCAAATTGCATGTGTTTATCTTTTTTGAATGCTGAGTAATATTCCATGGTATATATGTACCACATCTTCTTGATCCAGTCATCTATTTTTGGGCATTTGGGCTGTTTCCAAAGCTTAGCTATTGTAAATAGTGCTGCTATAAACATAGGGGTGCAGGTGTTCTTTGGAATGGATGTTTCTGTGTCCTTTGGGTAAATACCTAGGAGTAGAATTGCTGGATCATATGGAAGCTCTATGTTTAGTAGGTCCAGAAATCTCCACACAGCTTTCCATAGTGGTTGGACCAGTTTGCACTCCCACCAACAGTGCAGAAGAGTTCCTTTTTCTCCACACCCTCGCCAACATTTGTTGTTGCTAGTTTTTTTAATATGTGCCATTCTCACTGGTGTAAGATGGTATCTCATGGTAGTTTTGATTTGCATTTCCCTGATTACAAGTGATGTTGAACATTTTTTCATATGCCTGTTGGCCATCTGCATTTCTTCTTCAGAGAAGTTTCTTTTTAGCTCTTCTGCCCATTTTTTTGACTGGATTATTTTCTTTGTTGTTGTTGAGTCTCATCAGCTCTGCGCAGATTTTTGTGATCAGTCCTTTATCATTGGTGTTGTGTGCAAAAATGTTCTCCCAGTTGGTGGGGTTTCTCTTTGTTTTTGTTATTGTCTCTTCTGCTGTGCAGAAGCTCTTTAATTTGATGTAGTCCCAGCTGTTTATCTTTGCCTTCACTATCACTGCTTTGGGTGATGTGTCTGTAAAGATGTCTTTGATGTGCAAATCACATAGTGTTTCTCCTATATTTCCTTCTATGTATTTTATGGTTTCAGGTCTTATGTCTAGTTCTTTAATCCATTTTGAGTTGATTTTTGTGTATGGTGTGAGGTAGTGGTCAAGCTTCGTTCTTTTGAATGTAGCGACCCAGTTTTCCCAGCACCTTAAATAATAATGTTTTGACAAGCTATTTGCAGCCTGACATGCTGTGAGATTTGGTCATTGTGTTCAGCACTAAGATCCCTGACTGGCAGGGAGTTGGGGTGGTGGTGTCTGGCCCATTTTTGCTTCTATAATAGAGGTAACTTACCTCTTTCTTAGTAGTGAAGAATTGGTTTCAATTCTAATAAAAAATTTTTTTGGTTTATATATTACAGTAATAAACTCATTTGACAGTTAAATATGATGGCAAACACACATACACACAAATGAAAATTTAAAAATTTATTTTCAACTTCCCAAATTCTGCCATAGATGAACGTTGTTTATTACACTTTTCAATATGAAGAAAACTTGAAGCACAATATGTAAAATGACATATTAAGGTTAGATACATTATACATGATTTCTATTAGAAAGCTGTTGATTTATAACCAGACAAGACATTCTCTTGATTTTCTAATCAAGAATTGTACTTACTAAAAGTACAAACTTACCTGTTCACATGTACCAGTAAAAAATTCTACATTCTCATTTCAGTTACAAAAAATAAAAATTGGTCTTTGAGTTCTATGAGTTCAAAAAATCAATCTGGCAAAATGTTTGAGTTGAGAAAGGATGCTCTATGAACTTCAATAATCAAATGTGAAGACATAAAATTTGAAAAGTTCTTGTTCCTCTGGACACAAACAAAATAAAGTGAAACCAACCTAGAAAATTCCAAAAATGGTAAATAGCAAGCAATTTTACTCCATTAAATTGATGAATAATCTTTAGGCTGTTGGAAATCAGGAATCAGCTGTATTTAGAAGGGAAAAAAGAGATAAGGAGAAGTAAGCTAAATTAGGATATAAACACTGTGTGAAAGATTTCTGTCTGTATTTTTTTTTTTTGTATTGAAGGTTGTCTCACAATTTGTTGACTTCAGATATTCTCTGATACTAAACCACTGAATAATTTCTGTGCATAATCTAAAATGAGAGGAAATCAGGAATAATTTTTGTAGAGTATGACCTGTGAACAAAGTCCATAGCTTGCTATCAAATTCCTGCAAGACTTTAATTCCACAATTTCTGCTTTGTTAGAGGCTAAATAATATTGTTCCTGTATATTTAGCACTTAATGATATATAAATGAAATGATTTTTCTACAATCCTAATAAACAGTCATCTAAAGGGAGTTCTAATTATAACCTTAAAATAAAGCATATTTTCAGATCTTTAGTGATATTGTCATTTCAGATTTCTGGCTTTTAGAGGGCAACAGGAAAAGTCATGGAATATTTCTGTGACTCATAATGGCTTTGTCTGTTATGCCTCAAACATAGTTCTTTACAAACTGAAAATGTGAAGTCAAACTCATTTCTACAGCTCTCAGAGAATTAGGCTAGAAACCTGGGTTTTTAAAATCAATCTCAGACACAATTTTTAAAGTTATTTTTTAAATGGAATGCTAATACTAGAAACATGGCAAAAAAATCCTGAAAAAGATTTGATAATTTTTTACCTTATTTTCAACTAGCTGTATTCAGAAGTGGACACATAAAATTAATTTTCAGTTGCTTCATTGTTGGTAGTGGAGATCAGAACAATAAAAATGTGCATATTAAATAATATGTACAAAATAACAATAGGTACACATATGGGCACAACAAAATGTGCTATATATGAGTTTCATATCATGGGTTTCTCTTAAGGTTTATCTCTTAAAAATTTAAGGTTATTTTCTCTTTTGCAGCGTCAGCTTCCTTCTGGGTCCATTGAGGAATAGTTGTTTTTCAGTTGGTAGGCTTACTTTTCCAATGCAACATTTATGTTCACTGCCCATGCGGCTTCAGTCATATCTCATTATTTTTGATGTTGTTCATTTTTGAAGGTTTCTATAAGCAAAAAAACAAACAAACAAAAAAGATGGATCCATCAGTCATATGTGTTGGGAATAGCCTGATAACTACTTGCTTTTAAGTATTGTTTAAAGGGCTCTTTATATGGATAATATGGCTATATGCTTCTTGAGAAATTTCTTGGGCAATAATTGGGAGTTAAATAATAAGTAGAAAAGAAAGGAAGACGTACTCTTCAGAAACAAGGTAAGTATTTCTATGAGGTAGGAAATAATACATTAAACTTTTGGAGTGTTTTTCAGTTTGCAAAGTACTTATATTGCATTTTAGTTTATTCTTACAAAATATCTACTACATAGGTAAAGTAAAATACTCAATCCCCATTGAAGTTAAGAGACTTGCCTAGCAATCACATAACTATCAAGCTATGAAGCTTGGTTGTGCTCTAAAATATGTGTGATTGTGGACACAGCACTGTGTGTCCACTGCTGTGGCGAAGTAGCTACAGCATCAAGCCCAACTTTGTGGAGCTCTAAAGACTGCAGAAGGGAAAAAGAGGACCTATAAATAATTTAAACTGAAGAAATTCCACAGGTCTCAGCATAAGCTTTAGATTTAAAACTTCTGATGAATAGATACATGGACATGACATCAGCACAGCATATCAAACTTTCAAGTAAAGCAAATTCCATTGCAAAGAGGAATCCTGTTTGTGTTCAGGCAAGATATTTATTACTTTACATATGGCTCTGTGGACCATGGAGAATGAGTGGCTGAAAAATCCTAATTCCTTGCATTATAATGGTAAAGAGGAACAGAAAAGCAGTCATCTTTTGAGCTTTTCCACTCCTATATGGTGCTAGAGATCCGTTAAGTGCTAACCACGTGGTTTGGGGGAGGAACATGTGGTTCTTGGCCTTAGTGTTCACAGGCCTGTGATTTCCTCCTTTACTTCCTTTCTCCCTTTTCTGTTCTATTTTTCCTTCCTGTTTCATATTCTCCCTCTCTCCCTTCTTCCCTCTTTTTCCTTTTCTGCCTGCCTTCCATCCTCCAGACACTTGCCCTCAACTGCTTCCTTTTCTCTACCCCCTCTCTTCCTCCTCTCAGCTGCATTCTAGGTCCATAACATTAAGGAAGCTAACTAATCTTTATGCTCTTCATTTCTTCATCTTTAAAAAAAAAAAAAGTGGGGAAAGGACACAAATGCTTATTTGTTAAGGTATTGACAAAATTACGTTAGCAAACAAATGTAAAGAATTTTAGATTTTACAATAAAGATTTACTATCTTATTAGATGTGTGAGATAAGACAAATATATACTTTTGTGAGCTCTGAGCAGCTTCCAAACTAACTAGGAAGAAGAAACAGGATGTCAAAGCAGAAAGCAGTAGAATTTCCCTTTATATGATGTGAATTGCCCTAATGGTCTGGCTCTATTTCCTTCTGTCAACATCTCCTCTCAATGCTAACTGGGAAGGGGGCTGGGAGGTAGAAGGAAATTAATCTAGAACCTGAAAGGAGGAAGCCTGGATGCAATGCTCTTTGATTTCATTCTCTTGAACATCCAATAGTTGCATTTAGACTTATAGGACTTCCTTATATCATAAACAGCAATAAAACCACACACGCGATAGAATATGCAGTATAGGTGAAGGAACACAGGAATTTTAGGCAGCATGCATAGGCTTACTTGCTATTTCTGTCACCCTCCATCTTTTTTTTAAATTTTTTTAAGATTTATTTTAATTTATGCATACAAGAGCTGGGGAACAGGCCAGAGATGCGGGGGGTGAAAGGACTCACCAGAAACAGTGGGGAACATAACAGGCAGACTGACTGAAATACACTGCTAAGGGGAGCAGCGGGCGAGATGGGAGAGGTCTGCTGAGCCATGTGGGTAGCTTCCTGGCCAGCCGGAGATTGAACTCGTGCTGCAGAGGCTGTGGATTGCTTCATAGTGCGGTGCTTAACCCCTTGCGCCACTAGAGAGGCCCCCACCTTCCATCTTTTGATCTTATCTGTAAATAGGGATAACAACAGTATTTTGCCCTCATAGTGTTGCTTTTTCTAGGGACAGAGGGACTGAGAACACACAAAATAGAGATATTGTAGTAGAGAGAAACAGAATCTGAAGATCTAGGTTCCTGATTCTAAGACTTACTGGGATGTCTTGAAGAAGCTCTGAATTCCATTTCTTTATGAGTGTATGAGTTTTAGTAGTAATAACTGAATCATGGAGTTGAGGAAATATCAAATGAAACAATGAATCTGCAAGTGCTTTGCAAAATGTAAAGTACCATAGAAACATTACTTGCTATTACCATCTCATATTCACATAAAACTATTACAGGCCTGTAGTTTGAAAGTTCAATCTGTCATCTTGACAGTTATTAGTTTCACTCTCCCTTGTCAATACTGATTTAAGACAGTACATAGTTAAGCAGAAAAATGGGAATTGAGGGAATTTGAATACTTTAATTTGATTATCTCATTATGAAATAGTAGAACTTGAACCATTTTATTTATTTTTTCTAAATTACAGCAGCTTTTCTTCTGCAGGTTTCATCTCTTTTTTTTTAATTTCTTTTTTTTTAAAGATTTATTTATTCAAATATACAAGCACTGGGCACAGTCAGAAGTGCGGGAGGGCGAGAGAATTCACCAGAGCCAGAGCGGGGAGCAGAACAGGCAGAAGGACCGAAGTACACTGCTGAGGTGGCAGCGGGCGGCAGGAGAGGTCCACGCGCCATGTGGGACCCTCCTCAGGTGGCCGGGGAGCAGCCGGGGACCGAACCGGCGCCGCAGAGGCCGCGGGCAGCCTCGCAACCCAGCGCTCAACCGCTGCGCCACCGGGGAGGCCCGAACCATTTTATTTTTGAAAGCAACTTTCTACGTTGCCTCCCCTGCCTCATCTAGCTCAACCTTCTACCCAGTGTAGACACGCTATAAAGAACAACTGTGCTATGGTGGTCTCCTCAGGGTCACAGAGCAGATTTCATATCAATTAGACACTATGGTTTTCTTGAATTTTCAAAAAATTTCAAAATGTGCAGAAACTGATTTTTCCGACAATTATTTAGGTTTTCAGATTCAAATTGATTTTATTATTTTTTAATATTTTATATAATTCTTATATCATTTTTCATTTTTGCACAATGTATGAATTTTCATTTTGGTTATATTCCCCGTACAATTGCACCCCCCCTTATTTTGACCCTAATCCTTCCTCTCCCCACCTCTCTCCCCCCAACCCCCCATAGTGTGTCTCTGGTTTATAGTTGCTTGTTGATTTTGATTTTTACTTTGTATTAATTAGTCTTTTTCCTGGTCCCTTATTTAGGTTTTCTAAATTCCTGCTATGAGTGAGACCCCTCAATTGTCTTGGCATTCATTAACCATTCCTTTTGGAAATGTTACAAACTTAACATGGATAGATGCTTCTTGGTTGAATAGAATATTTGCTTATTACTTTTGAATATTTACGATTAGACAATCAGATTAACTGAGGGGTATGGAATCATGTACATTCTATTCTTTGGAGAGCAAGTCAAACACTTCATTCATGAAAGAATAAAGAATATAGGCTTGTTTTGTTTTTTCTATAAAGTACCCTTTGATAGTCAAAAGTCCTTCATGAGTAAAAAATCTATATCTTTGTAAGGATAACCTAGCATTTCAATCCACAAAATTAAGTTTTATATACATAAAATTAGTAATTATTTGAATGAGAGGATTAAAGTAAATCTTCATTTCCTCTTGTTTTAGAGGACTCAAGTTCAAATATGCCCAAAATTGTTCTATATCTTATAAAGGTAATGGATTCCAAAGAGTTGATTTGTTTTTTATTAATTGAAAAGCAATAGCTTTTTGAGTTTTATTTCTGTTAATAATAAAAATATTCTATCAATTTTTGATATTGTCATCTCATAATATTTAATGATTTTTTTCCCCTACCATTATTCTCTATATCCTTTTGACCCTTTATCCATTCCCCCTCCTTTTTTTTCTGGAGAAATTAGCTAGTATGTTGTCTTTCAACCCATATATGTCTCTCCATTTATTTAGATTATTTATTTATTTTTTTATAATTTTTAAAAATAACATTAGTGTTCAACACTGTTTATGATTCAGAAGTTAATTTGAGCCAAAGCTAGTCACAGCCTGCTCGGTTTCCCTCTGGGGAACTTAGACTCAGTGCCAGTTTCCCCAAATTATTCAGTCTGGTGCTGATCAATAGCACCTGCAACTAGCACAGCCACAGCCTGCAGGAGAGATCGTGATTGTAAAAGGTGGTTTCCTGGAATCTCTTCTGAGTATTTCTGGATTTCCATCTATATGTCATCTTTTATATCTGTATTCATCCTATGCATCCCTTTCCTTAGAGCCTTTTGCAATTAAGTTATTAAAATAGCTGCTTTCCTTCCTCTCACCTACAATGGAAACATGGACATTGCATCATTTTTTCTGAAGGGGGAGACCTTATTCCTCTAAAACACAATGTTGTGAACAACAACAAAAAAACCACCAAAAAATTATAAAACCCAGAAATGAATCTGATATTTACACGCCTTTTGCAAACAGAAATGTTTGATAAGTGTTATACACTATATACTGAGTATGGGAGGAGAGTCTAGGGGTGAATTTTTTTATTGAAGAACTATTTTTTTTTTTAATTTTCTAGAGGCATGTCTTATTTATTTATTTATTTATTATTTGTTTGTTTTGTTTATACATGCACTGGGTACAGTCAGAAGCGCGGGAGGGTGAGAGAATTCACCAGAGCCAGAGCGGGGAGCAGAGCAGGCAGAAGGACCGAAGTACACTGCTGAGGGGAGCAGTGGGCGGCAGGAGAGGTCTGCGCGCCATGTGGGACCCTCCTGCAGTGGCCGGGGAGCAGCCGGGGATCGAACCGGCGCCGCAGAGGCCGCGGGCAGCTTCGCAACCCAGTGCTCAACCGCTGCGCCACCGGGGAGGCCCTGAAGAACTATTTTTTTAAAGATTTATTTATGCATACAAGAACTGGGCACACACCAGAG